TCCTTCAGCAACATCAGAGCTGCAAACATTTTTAAAACAGCCGCTTTCCAAAAGTGTCAATTAACGCCTAGCTCGTCTCGCTTTAGATTATACAAAGAAGAATGTAAGATCTTTTAAACATCAGCTGGGACCGCTAAATTAAATCTCTGCGAACTCTTCGGCCGATATTAGTCAAAAGGAAGAAAAGCTCATCCCTATACGAAGGCGAACATCTTAACTGTAAAACACAATTGTGGTTTACGGCATTACACTTGTGTACAGTGCGAAATTCAAAATGTGAGCAAACAAAATGAATTTTACAGTCCAGATTCCGTGAGCACTGTTATAATATGAGTAGCAGAAAGATTAGTAACTTCTTTCATTCGCATTTTCGATAGAACGGTCATTCGGTTTGGAATACTGCGCCAGTTAACTGAATCTCAGTTCGAACTTCTTTACGAGTTTATGATGCTGAATGAAAGCTGGCAAGAAGAAACTTACCAGATTCAGCTCAGCATCAAGTTTCTTGCTAAGCAAAAAAAGCCCATGTAACCCGATCCTCCCTCCATAATGCCATAACTTCAGATCTTGCTTCCCAATCCTATCTCCAAGCACTATTACTACAATTATAGTCGTCTGCGCTCAATACTCATTTAGCTCAGCAATTTTTCTCCACTATCTGTTCCACTCACCAAATAATTTTATTTGTTTCTTTGTCTTCAACTGCATCTGTTTCAAAAATCAGAAAGCTTTCAACCGCATAGAACGGTCTGAACGTGCGATATTAAGTGAATGTATCTAGTTTCTAGCCGAGCACAATGGATACACTGCTAAAAGCGTCGGTAACGAGAAACACAACGATGAAGGAACAGCTGTTCAAAGTATTAGAAAAAGGCATTTTAAGAAGCAACTGCAAGTACCTTTCTCATGCAAGCCTCGCCTTTCGTACAATACGTACAGTTCATAATATTTTTGGCGTTCTAATAATATCTTTTCTGAATCAGCTACAATACACATATTATCTGCAAGGCGTAGCAGCGATGCCACCAAGCTCTCGTTCGTCTGAATACAAATATGACTGAAGCCACTGCTACAGTTTCAGAACGGGAAATCCGACGCAATGAGATTTTAGTATCGATTTTGCTGGTATTCACTTGTCTATTGTACCGTAAAACGAACTGCAGTGAGTTTTACAGAGGGATAGCCCGTGTTGCTTATTGGCAAGTGTCTTAGTTCCTTCCAAATTCAGCAACAAGTTATTCCGAATTACAATAAATTTTCATAAATTTCTGGAGAAATGAGCAAACGAATGCATACGAAAGTCAAACAGCGGTTTGGTGAGAAAATCGCGTGAACAAATTTTGTAGTGTGTATCATCCAGCCTCTTAAAAACGCGGTCCTTTATAGTCACCAACTTCAGCAGCGGAATTTAAACAGAACAAGAGTACCTGAAGGTAGCACTTCAGTAAAGTAGTATCCACCACTTGCAAAACATTCTCGTGATTTTTTAATCTTTCTGTCGCGTCGGCATCATGCAAATTTCGCTTATAACGTTTCTTGAGTTCTGTTACTGCTTTGGCATGTTCCATTCGCACCTGAAACATCCAACTGGCATTTTAGTTTTTGACCAAAAACAAAAATTACCTTCTGTTCTTGAATGACTTAGAAAGTTATTTAAATTACTTTTGGGTGCTGCCGTCTACTTTTCGGTATATATGTGCGCAGCCCGCAGCGATCAGGTCTGGCCAATTCTTAATCTCGCCGCACTGGCTTAAATTCATGTACTGTATATAAAACTAGGAAT